CCTCTGTCACCTCTTCTACTACATCATCAAGTGAGGATTCTACTGAGGTATCAACAACGGCCTCTGCCACCCTTTCTGCTACATCATCAATTGAGGATTCAACTGAAGTATCAACAACTGCCCCGGCCCCCTCTTCATTAGTCCCCGGAGATTCCGACAAAACATCACCAACCACAAGCACCATGAAACCCACCGCGAGTGCAAAACCGTCGGAGCCTCCGTTAACAGTGTTGCCGCCATCCCCACCCAAATATCCACAATCAATAACGATAGGTATGTTTTGAATGTTTTTTTTCTTTATCTGTAGCATATAAGGGTTTAATATACTATACAGGTACGTATAGTGCAAATTAACATAATTTTTAGTAATAATGGACAGACGGCTATCTTGCAAAGCCGTGTTTAATTTTCCTTTGTGACTCAGAAAATGAAAGTTACATCTACACGGACCCAATTAGGTGGATAATAATGGACTGTTTTACTTCACACACACAGACTATGTATTATGGAATAACACATACACAATTCAGAGACATTTAAAACTCATCAAAATATCCACACTCTCCAATGTTGAAAACATGTCTACAAACAAGCTTTCTTATTGCAGACGAGCAATTCCTTGAAAACCTTGAGAAGCGAGTTCCGCTTTCATTCAAGTTTAATGACTCAAACTTTCTTGAAGAAAAAGACAAATTTGAAAGAAGCAAGGAAGAAATAGAATCGCAGGTAGCGTAGAACATTGTTTCTATTTTAATGTTTTGAAAACATTTATACACGTACCTAATTGTTGCAAAATCTAAATATAGAGATGGGATTTTATTTTTTGTTTTAGAAAAGGTTTTTAATATAGAAAATCTAGACAACCTGAGTTCTCAATATCTGGTACATGGATGCTTTCATGACCGGACTACAGTAATATGTAACGGACAGGGGCGAATCCAGAATCCCCCCCCCCCCCCCCCCCCCCCCCACACACACACACACACACACACACACTTGGAATGGAGATTGGGACCCAACGAAGGGCCCGAAAAATTTAAGTATATTAGAGGGCGAACGGTGCCATTTAGAACTATGATTCAGCTAGTGAAAATTCTAATTTCAAGAGTGAGCCAGAAATCGAAGGGGGGTCATGACCTCTCGACCCTCCTCTAAATCCGACACTGACAGGTATGCACAGAAATGCCAATGTCTTGTTAAGTTTTTTTTACGAATCTGCTGTCGGTGACACCCCCGCTGGAGATGCTCCTTCCTTGTATGAAAACTTATAGACTGATATTTTTAAAATAATTTTGTGAAAATTATGGGTGCTGATACAATTTACTCCAATGACCGGATGCAAACAACGATACTTTACTTATTTTCGCTCTTCCATTTCAAAATTGAGCACGGAGAGTGATGCATAGATATTAATTTTGCTCTTTATACAAATATATTTTTTCATAATTTTGGAAGTAATCCTTTGACACTTATATAAAAACTGGTAATGTATTATTGCATAAAACGCCCCTTTAAAGCGTCTTACGACAGGTGGTCTTAAAATATAAGGGCCGAAAAGAGAAATATGTATATGGACATATATAATGCTGAATATTTATTACCTATATGTTTACATAGTGGGATGTCACACATTTGCATTGGCGTTTGATCTAACTTCTTTGTACTTGATATACTCTTTTTTCACGTGTGTTTCTTTCAACTTATACATGTTAGTTCAACCACTGATTGTGCCTCCCGCCCCTCTGTGGCGTCGCTTAATAAATGTCCGTTTGTGCCAACTATAATTAACAAAGCAATTGACTGAAGTTTATGTGATCTTGAGATGCCGTATACACCATGACGGGAATGGAATTGTTTGTTTTTCAGTTGTTCGTTATGTTCATTTCTAGTCTCGGCGGTCTACAAAAAGTTGACATAACAGCTATCAGGTATGCTCTATTAATACAGTGCAGATATCAGTTATCTTTAATTTAATTTTTATTTTAATAAGACCCCAGAAGCTCTTTTCATGTGGCTTACATGTTAAATGAATCATGTGAAATCAGATATATCGCCAGTGCTGAAAGGGGTGTATAACTTGGTGACTCGATCTTTATTGAGTGCTGTGTTATATGATTGGAAATGATTTTGAATAAAAATTGTCGTTTGTGTCTAGCCAGGCACGCATACTATTAGCTAAAAGTGCTAGTGATTGTAAGGCCATATAAGTATTGTCTAGCGTATAATTTAGCATTCATTTTCCAGGGAAGGAAGTATCATCATTGACTTCACCCTCATTTTCAACCTAAAGACTTTCCTGAATAATTCTGGGTATTCTAACGAGACACTTAACGAAATCAGAAACGTTCTTAACGGAAATAATACGCTTCAAGTGAATGGAACGAACTATACCTCCGACCAAACGTACGCCCTTGGTGAATTGAAAAAGTTAGGTAAGTCTGTGCAAGGAGTTATAACAGACTCCTTGGTCTGTGTAAATATGTGTAAATTATATTGTTCCGTGAACTGGTAGTTTATTAACCACACCCGTTTATCACCATCGTAAAATGAAAAAAAAACCAGTTAGTGTACTGTTTGTTTTCTTACTTCGATTACTGGTTCCCTTATCTTTATAGTTTTCTATACTAAGGTTACTTTACAAGGTATGTTGCTTCGAATAGCATTTTATATCTAATATTATAAAACGGGTGATAACGGTCATGTTCTTTAATATACGTTTTCATTTTCAAATGAAATTCAAGGAAGCATGTGTCAAATATGGTGCGGTAGATTGGTGCATAAATAACAAAATGAAAAAATGAAAAAAAAAAAAAGAAATCGTTTATATATGATATATTTAAGAGCGATGACCTTCATAGAAAACACAGACTGCGTTAATCACTTTTCATACTCTAAGGTAACGAATTATTTTATCTAGCACTCTTTATTTCATCTGCATGTTGGGAGGACCAAGCTTGCATGTACTTGTAGTTAACCCAGTTAGATCATCATGTATAACCGGTCTTTATGATACATATATTCCTCTAGCAATCGCCAAATCCCTATACCGTCGTATTATTCCAGAGGGAGTATTGCAGAACCCATGCATACTGTACGATGATGTAGACGTATGCGCCGAGAAGACCAAATCACGTACATACACGTGCGAGATAAGATGGAATAAAGGCGGAGTGGAGTGTGTCTCCAAGTGTAAAGGTTGGACGTGCAATGACCACGGGATCTGTTATGTTAATCCTCCTTCATTTACCCCGACGTGCACGTAAGTCCAATATAGTCATTCCGTTTGATTTTGTCAGTTGATATAAAGATGACATTTAGTACACACCATATACTACACACAATGGACAATAGAGGTGTCACCCCCTGAATCAGAGTAATCAAATAATAATCAAGTAATCAATAATCAAAGTAGGCAGATCTTGAGTAGTTATAATGCCTGGTCTACATTCTGATATTTTTATTNATCTTGAGTAGTTATAATGCCTGGTCTACATTCTGATATTTTTATTTTTTATTTATTTATTTATTTATTTATTTATTTATTTATTTTTTGTGAAATTTGATGTTAATAAAATGATACCAGGAGCATATCATTCCACAGTCATTTATCTCCCTCAAAGTATTGGTTTAGTAGGGGTGACACTTCTTTTGTCCATTGTGTGTAATAAAGATAGGAGTGTAGATTTGGCACTGTGCGGCAATGGATCAACGTGCGATTTAGTTTTTAGCACTTTACAGAAACAACGTTTTTTTTTTTTTTCATTTATTTATTTACACAGCTATACAGTTTGTCGAATCTCAGCGCTTTGAGCACTTTCACCTCAACAGTGTATGTAAACAATGATGCTCGGCTGAAATTGAATCATAATTAACCTAAATAAAACCGATATTTACCAGGAAATACACATGCATGCATAAAGAAAGGCCGACACTCGCACGATTCTGTGGCACGTATTGGCAAGACTCGAGTCGTGCCAGTGCGCAAACAAGTCGTAAACTGGCGTGAAGTGTGCGTAAACCCGTCGTGACTGCGTGTCATGTCGGGACGAGAATTTTGAAATGTTCAAAATTTTGGTCACGACAAAATTTCGCGACGGGATTGTGAACTATGCGCAAACTGTTCGTGAACTCGACGGGACAATGCGGGAGGATGCGTACCAGTGCGCGCCATGCCACGACTGTTACGAACTGCCACGAATAATTCACGAGCAGCTCACGTATATTGCGTGCCCAAGTCGGCACGACACAGTCCGAATTGCGCAATGCGGGAAGTGCGTAAACTATGCGCAAACTATGCTTGAACTTGTCGTGCCAGTTCGTGTCAATGTGGACACGCATTGGTAAAATTGTCGTGAGCTCGTCGTGAACTCGTCGTGAACTATGCGTGAACTAGTAGGGAGCAGTGCGGGAGCCTCCCACTTCGTGCCCCAAAATGGCACGAATTGCCACGACAAAATATGGGCCAAAGTCGTGCAAGTGTCAGCCTTGCAATAGGTACACATAAATTTGAAACAAAATGAAATTGGAATCAGGTGAAATGATACACTTAAAACGCCACCAAACTGTACTATTTACCTAAATGAAGACGCTTCATTAAATATACTCGAGAAAAAATCAAAATATAAAAAATAAAAACAAACAAATAGATTGCACATATGATTAGATTTCGAGATTTGAAGAGGCGTTTATACAACCCTGTGTTTACACATGATCTACAGAAGCAATAAAAACGTACATAAACTACACGTTATCAAGATATGTTCGTTATTCCCGGTTTTTATTTGGAGTCAGGGACTGGATATTGCGGCCTCACACAAGAGCGCAACCTGAAAGTTATATATATATATATATATATATATATATATATATATATATATATATATATATATATATATATATATATATACACGAGGCACGAAGCCTTCAGACGTCTCTTCTTCTGAAAATAATATTTTTAAAATGTTACAATAAAATAGGTAATGAATCTAAAATAAAATGGCGGTTCATCAGAAAACGACCACATCAATACGACTGGTCCCTGGGTCATTACATATTTGCTCTCTAGTTTTGATCCACCACATTTTCACAGTTTTCAACCACAGCACAGGGTCACTGTGTTTGCCCTACCATTATCTTCTTTAAGATTGCTTTAGTTAATTTTTATAGTCTTGTTAAATTTAGAAATAATAAATGACAAATACGAATTTGAATCAAACACAATTGTTGAAAAACTATACCATAAAATTCAACGTTTGCTTTTGGTTGAGGTATTTAGTTATGTCATGGAGAATATTAAGGACTATCAAAATGTTAAAGGAGTAGCAAATTGTGAGTTTCGTGTGTGGTGTTGTGAGTTTCGTGTGTGGTGTTGTGAGTTTCGTGTGTGGTGTTGTGAGTTTTGTGTGTGGTGTTGTGATGTTCCTGTGGTATTGTGACCCTTACACGCCTCCGTAATACGAGAAATATCACAATCAAAAACATTTGCATGAAAGACAGGATTGTATTTATAGGTATCGCACAGTATTAGAATAGAAAATAGAGGTCTCATTATTACATTTATATTTTGTTGAAAATATTCTGTTTACAGGTGTAACACTGAGGAAACAGCCACGCAGACGATAACCTATTCTGGTGTTAACTGCACGCTGTCCAGCGCAGCTGTTAAACTGGACATAGTGATCTACATCACCACCTCTGTGGGCGGGGCGCTGCTGATAGTCGTCGCAATCACGATTGTGTTAGTTGTGATTTGGAGACGACGGTATTGGAATGTAACGAAACGGAGCGAGTAAGTGAGCAAGATTAATAATTTCAGCGTTATTAGGATTCCTAAAGTATTTGGGGCAGCGGAAATCATCTCCTTTTCAGGGTCACAGTAGTGTTGGTTCTTTGACTCACTTTCAAATCCATAAGTTGAATACTGTACAATGGAGAAGTCTGATGGAGTGGACTGTATTGTAGTTTATCGTTTAAATGCAAAATGAAAGCAAAATAATTACGGAAAGATATAATTGAACATAGAAATCAAAACTAAAAAGCATGGCCGCAAACATCAAGTTAATGTATGCCGTCTAATTCCAATCCCGCCTTCGAAACATAACTTAAAGTGAAAGAAATTCTTTCCATATTTCAGATACCATGATCTTCTATCTAATAAGAAGGGTTCACACAACGATACTGCCTCTGATACTTCATCCGACACAGGTAGCCAGAAGTTACACAGGGGCGAACACGTGTATGATAATAAGGTATATCTAAAATTTCCATGAGCATTATCATATTTTCATCATATTTATCGTACTGACGATACGTTTATTAATCGTCTCAGTTTTTGAGTTTTTTTACAAATACAGGGGCGGATATTTATTCTACTTGAGCGCGTCTTATCGGCATGTTTTGATTAAAAATGTGGTCCTTCAGTTTAACTCTGACAATTATTTAATAGCATGACCTTATTTAGCAATCTCATTAAGCACCATTCCACATCGTCTAGAACAAAATATCTAAAGTTTAATTCACGTTGCATCATATGGCCTTTCCATTCTTTGCTCTCGTCTTATGTTAAAAAAAAAAAAAAAAAAAAAAAAAAAAACTGTTTGTAGCGGACTCCCTTAGTCGCACACTAAACACATTATACTAAATAGATTACATTTTTTTGTATTTCTGTTAATGTATTTTTTGAGAGCCGCAGCATGACTTTAGTGAGTACAAATGTGAACATTTGATGTTCCAAGCAATGGCTGCGGTCCAACTGCATCCGCCATAAAAAATCTCAATGTTTTGCATGAATGCACTGACAATAAAGACAGCAGAGTTTGCAATAAAGTCTTGTCTTATATATCGTTTAGAGGTAGATGCTTTGACGGACACGGTCTCTTGTTTTTTTTTTTCTTTCAGATGTATCAGCACGGTGAAGACAATAACATATATGATCCTAGGCACAGTTTGGCATTCCAAGTCAAACTTGATCACATCGACCCGAAGGCTGATGTAAGTATTAGCTCGAGCTGTATACGTGAACAAAGTAGCATTGCGTTTTTTGAGATAAGCTTTTCACTGAAAATGCACTGAAGAACACTGTCGAGTGTCAATTCAACTTAACGTTAAGCAATCTTTTCTCATAGGGAGCATTCACATCGAGAACAGGTCTTGTAAGGCTGAGACCTAAATATGGCCGACCTACATGAAAGGAAGACCGCTAATCCTGTAATGGTCTCTCCGCCTCCCCACGCGTTGTCCCTGGGCCAGTTGAGTCGAGATTTAATTACTGTGCCCCTGCAGGGACGACGCGTGGGGAGGCGTGTGAGAGGTGGAGAGAACATTACAGTTTTAGCGGTCTTCCTTTCATGTAGGTCGGCCATATTTAGGTCTCGGCCTTACTAGACCTCGGCTCTTTTCGATGTGAATGCTCCCATGGGCGGCTTATCGGTGACACCTTACATAGTATACATTGTAACTGAGCCTAACTGATGATTATAGAGCTGAGAACAACATCCAGATAAGGAGAATCAATGCAATAAATCGTTCTCTGTACTCTAGTTCATAGAGTGCGTGTTGTTATTACTCATATTGAAGAAGTTATATTGTAGAAGTTTAATTGGCACTTTTAGTAAGACGCTGAACAAGGGTGCATCACAATTAGTTCATAAATGTTATCCAGTTTAGCCTGGGCACATCAAAATTTTCAGTTTTGATGGGAAAAGTAATATCAAACATGTGACGACTTATTAAAATCAGCTTAGCACCCGGCAACGCGTTTTGCCGGTAACATTACATGTTAACCATTTTCCTTACAAAATAATCATCATTTTTGTTATTTTCTGTTTGTTTGTTTGTTTGTTTTCCAGTATTCTATCAAAAGACCTCAGGTATATCCCAGACCGAGCTCTCTTCATCAGCCACGAGTTAGTGAACTGTACTGACCTTGACCAATGGACACCTATCACAAACATTTTAATGGGGCACAGAGGGGGGGGGGGGGGCAGCTGTCACTCATATTCTTTAGCTCTGGTGACATAATAACACGGATGACGGGGGCAGCTGTCACTCATATTGTTTAATTCTGGTGACATGACGTTATTTACTACACAAAGACAAAAGGATATTATAGTTTTCTTTTAATTGCTATTTATTTATTTTCTTAAAGTATGTATTACGGAGGTAATCCCGCTTTAATATGCCAAATGTTCATGATCCTCTCTACTATCGTTCATTTTCCAGCGTATATCTTAAAGAAAAAACAATGATTGAATTTCATTTTTTTTTTTGAAAAAGCATTCGGATATTCAGTGACATTTGTCATATATTCCCTTCGTGGTAATACCGTTTACAGAATAAATACGTTCCATTTAATCATCGTTTAATTTAATTAAGTTATAGCAAATATGAAGTATCTAAAGACTGCTAGAAAGATTGACTCAAATGCAAGAAAACATGTATTTTATATCAATACGGCATTCTATCTAAATCATTTTACTCTGTGATAATGCTGCAGTAGCACATAGCTGCTGGGTTTTAACTTACAGTTTACGTTATTTGTTCCTATTATCTGTGATAAGAACACTAAGGTGTGTCTGTCCAGTGAGACAGCAGACTCTGGTGCCTCACGCAGCGATATGAGAAGAAGTCAACTTGTTATAGATTAAAATTGAATTGTATTAGATATTTAAAGTCAAAGGCCATCGAACAGAAATTCCATCGCAGCAATGATTAAATGTTTCTACTTAAATGTATGTCTTTGGTTATCTACGTTAATATTAGGTTGATCATGAACACAATTGACATACGTACATACATGTAATCTTTTCTCTATCTAAGTTTCTCCATCAGCAGGTCAAGTTTATTTCTTTGTTACCTAACTTTGAAGGGAGTGCTGGGGTTATATGCACATGTACAATATAAAGGGCATGTTTCTGAAATATGAGTTCGGGCGAATCCGGCATGCGTGTAGAATTTGTCAAAAAATAGCAGAGACATGTTCCACAGCATTTGTGAACCAAGCGCAATACGGTACTCTTCGTATCACATGAGGTTGATGTAAATACTGCAATTAATAACCACACCAAGCACTTCACCTTGATAGGCTGACATGCACTGAGGAGATAAATGTTCGTACTTTGAAGCCCTGCATGGATCTGTGAAAAGATACAAGAATGACGGTAGTTCGTAGTACGGCTAAAACGAATACAGCATACTGTGATGGTATGTGATGGTTTCACAGATTTAGGACAATTGGTTGTTTGTGCAGATTTTGATTTTAATTAAATCTGAAGAGATGGACCTATCCGAAGACCAGAGGCGCATTTGACCTTAAATACGGCAGATTCAAATGTCTATGGACATCCACGCTACTAATTACTTTGCAAAACTAGAAAACCACTCATAGAGCGCAGACTTCCGCCAAGGCAGCAAAGTCTCCATCCAATGCCGTTTCACCCCAAAATTTTCGATATTTTTAATTATTGATTATTGACTGATTATTGATCCGGATCACTACCAAAAGCTAACCATCTGTTCCTTGGCCCACTTCTGACAATTCCTGAAATTTTCATCAAAATCAGTCCATAACTTTTTTAGTTATGTTGATGACAGGCAGACAAAGAAACAAACAAACGAACAAACAGGGGTGAAAACATAACCTCATTGGCGGAGGTAACAACTTTATTCGCCTATTAGTGTATCATTACCGTCCTGTATATCTGAATAATATCACATATTCCACAACGACTTTTTTATTCCGTGTCAGCAGAACTTTGGTAAAATAACCTTCGTGGTAAATATGCTAGTCTTAGATCATTGGGAATAGGAAAATATATCAAGTACTATATTAAATCAATTACTTCCAAAATGCACTTCACACCCCAATACCACCATAACACCTAGGAATTTCAGAATAAGATAGCAAAACTGAATCATTGATTTTCTTAGAAGTATTAACAGCATGACAGTTAAGACGTAAGTGTCAATACTCAAATACCACAACAGCGGCACCCTCCCTTAATTACCATTTGGTTTCATGCGTTTAATACGTGACGTCAATGCGTTGCACCCACACGTTGAAATATTTGTTTCCAAAATTAATCAAAATTACCACTGATATTGGGTAAAATTTCAAATGATAAATCACCCGAAAAACGAAGAATTTGAAAAGATGTTTACACATAAAGACTAATGTTGACTAATATCTGCTCAACGTTATCGCAGTTTATGTTAGGTTATCGTAGGTGACGTTTATTAACGTTTGTTCAGACTTTGGGGACAGGTACATACTAGATAACAGCAGGTGAACATTCATAGGGGACCTTACCGTAATTTAATTAAAGGCAGTCCTGCTTTAAGATGCCGTTTGCTCGTCATGCCGTTGGTTCGCAATATATTTCATTCTGATATCGAGTAACTTAAGAAGATATGGTGGGATGTGACTTTAATGCATTCATACTTTTAGTGACATTGATTTATATAAATAATTGTGGTTCATGACCTTTGGGCTGAGAAAAAAATGCAAAAATGGCCACACCTAGCAGTTTTAAATCATGGCCTCAAAACTGACCTACAAATCTACCCAAAAACTAGGTCCATGTCCTCAATAGGTACATTGTGACACCATGGGTGTGTCCTAATTTATGTCTGATCACGAGGATGCATCTTATTTGCTCTACTTCGGAATTCAAACACTCACGCTTGAGGCGTCACATGATAGCAAAGTATGATGTGTCCATGTGAACGTCGTATTTTTAATTTGAACCTCGAATTATGTCATCCGTTTGCAATGTGTAGGGGTCGAAGAACATGTGCAGAGAACAAATTAATATTTTGCTAAGATTAAAAATGTTTCATGGTTATTATTGATAAATACTTTGAAATAAAATAACCCTTGTCATTTGCATGTGCATCGTAGCATTTCCGTTTATCTGAGAGTATAAGTCTTCATGTGGCAAATAAACGTATCATTTACTGCTTTTAGAGCTAATGCAAGGGATGTACCCCGGTATGTTAGTATTAGTGTTCAAAGTAAATAAAATATTATCCCATACTTGTCTTCAATATGCAACCCAAAGATCTGGGACTTGTATAAATACTACCCTCTACCAGGGCGACTGATAGATTTTTACGGATATTCACAGATATGTCTCTAGCTAGATAGATGGTCATTTTCAGCTGAAGTCACCCTGTACAGAAATCCCATGTGGGAGCAATTATCTCTGCCCGCGCGCAGAGGGCTTTATTCTCGCTCTGCGTGAGCTTCGCTTCGCGACAATGTGCTAACTGTACGTTACGCAACCTGTCAAGGTTATGCTGTCTGCAGAAACCAGTCACGTGGTTGGAAAGGGTTTCCCGAAGTAAGCCGTATCCCACAATTCCGTACTGCAGCTTTAAAAAATGGCGGCTATCACGCCCGGTGTTTCCTCCGACAAAAACGAGAAAATAGAGAAGTAAGACGTTCTGACAATTTATTCTTGGGGGTATCTTCTTTCTGATGCAATTATATAGACTCTGTTTAGTCTTTTATATGACTTACTTATTAATGACTCTTTGAAAAACGTCTCCTGCATATAGGACATGCTGTAGGCTAATAGGTTAAGGCAACGTGATTCGGGTAAAATCTTATCTTCTGAAATAAGTATATCTTGGTTTTAGGCTCAAGAGTTCAATTGTAATGGGACCGAAGAGTGGGCCGTACACAAGTTCTTTGAAAGTGGTCACGTTAGAGAGGACATTTGGATTGGACAGACACACTTGATCTGGTACTCACGAGAGACTGTGATGACATCATTAGTGATTGTAACAAAGGACATCTGCTGTCAGATCACCATATAATCATCAGTGAGCTGAGATTTGGTAAGCCTCATCCAAGAAAAGAAAAAAATCTCTTATCGGAAACTCATATCTGTTAATCCTGATGACTTGAATACGAATATCTGTGCTCAATTAAAGGGATAATAACTCTTCGTTTCGGCCAAAAAATGAATTTTCCTGGGGTAAACAACAATTTTTCCATACTTACCAATGGTTAATGAATCCATTTTTACATTCAAAGTTAGTCCCTGGTTTTTTTCTAAAAAGTTTGGTTTTTTGTTAAAATCTCTTAAGAGATTTTAACAGAGTATAGCCATCAATGGAGGTCACGTGGTCTAAAGACAAGCTCAGATATCAGAATAATAGCTATAACTGCCTTTTTGTGGTAAAACAGAATATGTTATATTTCTATGAGTTATTCACAATGTTTTTATTGTGAAATGTAGATTTCATACGAAGAGTTATTATCCCTTTAAGTGTAACTCAGTACACTAACAAAATGCCGGCTGATTGTGTTAATATTTATGACAGTGTTCTCACCACGGCGTTAGACGCGGTAGCAACCCTAAAGACTAAAAACATTTGCAAAAAGCAGTTACAGCCATGGATGAATGATGAAATATTGGATGCAAAGAGAGAAAGAAGGAGGATGGAAGGTCTTTGGAGGGGCACTAGACTAACAGTACCTGTACATCATGAATGCTACAAAACTCAGTGCGCTCATGTCAACTCTTTAATCAGGAAAGCAAAGAAGTCGTACTTTTCAGATTTAATCAATGGTTGCAATGGTGACAACAAAGCTTTGTTCAACACAGTGAACAGCTTATTAGGGAAGTCAACTAATAAAACCCACCCTGGGACAGTCTCATTAAAAACTCTTGCGGACAAGATGAGTGAATTTTACATATCCAAAATTGAGAATATATATGTTGAACTCTCGGAACTGGAACACACAATCTCCACCCCACCGTGTTTTCAACTATCTGCTGCCGTAGCCCATTTCAACCCTTTCATCTTTCCAAGAAGCATCTACAGATGAAGTCACAAAAATAATTACCAAGTCCAAGAAGACATCATGCATGCTTGATCCGATTTCGACAGTGCTTATGGCCCAGATACTCCCAGCTGTCATCAACCTGATAACTCACATCATCAACGCTAGTTTCACTTCTGGTTCTTTCCCTGACCAACTCAAGAAAGCTGTGGTTCAACCTTTATTAAAAAAGCCATCTCTTGACCCTGATACACTTGGAAATTACAGACCTGTGTCTAACCTCTAGTTTCTATCAAAAACGGTTGAAGGGGTCATTGCCGCCAGACTGGTTGCACACTTAGAGAAAAACAATCTTATAGAGCCAATGCAATCTGCATACAAGGCCAGACACAGTACTGAGTCAGCTCTACTTAGGATTAAAAGTGATCTTTTATGTGGAGTGGATAAACATTCAGTGGTTCTTTTAGTCCTGTTGGACCTATCGGCAGCTTTTGACACTGTTAATCATGGACTACTTTTATCTTTTCTTGAAGATTTTATTGGTATTAAGGACTCTGCTCTTAGTCTTTTACGTTCTTATTTTACAGGCCGGTCACAGCAGGTTATGATAAAAGGCATATTATCAAATATGTTTCAGAAATAGCTTTCGGTGTGCCACAAGGCAGTGTTTTAGGACCTCCTTTTTTTGCATGTATACCTTACCAATTGGGGCCATACTAAGACATCATAACATTGGCTATCATATTTATGCTGATGACACACAGATTTTTACTTGTTGCAATCTAGAAAATCCAAAAGAATCTATTGATATATTGTCTAAATGTATTGACGATCTTCGCAGGTGGCTGATTAGTAATAAGTTGAAAATTAACGATGGAAAGTCTGAACTTTTGGTAATAAGTCAGCCACATAATCGTATGATAGCACAACAAATTCAGCTCAAAATTGGATCAAGCATTATTAAGCCAACAACCTATGCAAAAAATCTTGGTGTATTCTTAGATGGATCGCTTTGTATGAACAAACATATTGCCAGTGTATGCAGGTCAGCGGTTTTTAACATTAGGAACATAAGTGCAATTCGCAATCAGTTGTCTGACTCTGCTGCAGCCACAGTCATAAATTGTTTAGTTACATCTCGATTAGATTACTGCAACTCCAATTTATACGGTTGTCCAAAGAAACAAATTGCCAGACTGCAGCGCATTCAAAATATTTCGGCCAGATTATTAACTCGGACATCCACAAGCATACACATTTCCCCAGTTTTAAAAAGTTTACACTGGCTACCCCTACAAGCCAGAATTTTATTCAAATTTTAAGTTTTTACTCACGATGCTTTTTATGGATTGGCACCAATCTACATCAATGAATTAGTTAGTCACTATGTTCCAATGCGAAATCTGCGGTCTGTAGACCAATTGCTACTCAACCCAGTAAAAATGCGATTAAAAACCTACGGTGACATATCTTTTAAAGCTGCAGGGCCAAAGGAATGGAATCTATTACCGCTAGAAATCCGAGCAATTCAGTCTACCAAACATTTTAATATATTCTTTATATTCTTATGCAAATTAAAAAAAAAGATTGACAATTTTATGAGTTATATAAATATCCATGTCATCCAAATTCGACAATAATCTACGTTAACCTAAAACATCTCTTAAGGTATGTTTTGGCACTACAGTACATGCCTAAGAAGTAAAGACTTTTTCTTGAAACAGTTCCACTTCATCGAAAGCGCGAAGTGGTGATGATTTAACAATTTTTACCTTCATGTACATATATGTCATGCTTTGGCTACCCTTGTCTCACTATAGACTAACTGTCTAAGTTATTGGTTGTGAATAAATCTATTGTTCCCTTATATTTATATTATTTGTCTTTTGCAACAGGAAAGGAAGCGTGATAGTGGGTTTTGGTTTGGTATACGCAATGAAGAGTTTCCTACATATAAATAAGAGTGCAAATGTTCCGGTTCCGAAAATTGTGGATGATTTGGAAACGATTCTTGACTCTGACATCAACATTGTCGTTGGGGGTAAAAATTACACGGTAGATCGCAATTACAGCAAGGATCAAATTAAAAATCTAGGTTTGTACTTACACACGCTATGCATGCTTTCTAAAATATTATAAACCAATCTTAGAAATATGTACATATATTTGGATGTGAGCACTGCAAAGGCATATAATAAGCCTAGTGATTACGCTTAATGTTATAGTGGGTTACCAGATTATCTTAGTAGTTTATGCAGAAAAATCAAAATAAAACACATGATATACATGGTAACGTTTGTACATGTTCATGTATGTCCTTTTTAGGAGATCAAATAAGCGGTATGTGCAAGTTACCAGACAGCAGTTTTGACATCTGTGAAGCAACATCAGAGTGGCAAAATGAATGTGTTTTTAACAGTTCCACAAATGATATTAGTTGTGTGAACAATTGTCAGTCCGCTGGAATAGATTGCAGTGGCAAAGGGATTTGCACGGTAACACTCCCGAAGTCGCGCCCTAAATGCCAGTAACAGGGGCGGATCCAGAGATATTTTCTGACAGTCTTCCAAATTATCTTTGTTTGATCCATCCACCATTTTTGACCGTCTTCCGACAGAAAAAATTAGATACCCGTCAATGTAAACTTGGAATTCTGACCGTCTTCCGGAAGACCCAGAAGACCGCCTAAATCCGCCCCTGAGTAAGTCTTGATTTCAAGTCGTGTGAATACAGAGCCGCTGTACGTCGTATTCATCATTTATGCAAACTAATTATTCTCTTTTATTTCCATTGGGGTTTTCTTTTGCGTTTTGTTGTTATGATTGCCATCTGTAATATTAACAAATTCAAAATGTCGTAATCTTCAGTGATATTGTTCATAAACCTGCAAATTGAATGCATTCCAATATGGAAGTTTAAATTACCCCACATTGATAGTGATCATGGAGTATAAAAGTATTTTAAAATTGACTTCCAGTTAAATGTTTATCCACAAAAAACTGAGATGAACTCTGACACATAGTCCACAGAACTAAACTGAATTTTTTTTCCAAATTAGGTATTTCATTTACGTGTGAGTTATTTTTATTCACCCAAAGGACCTAATACACTCAAAATGTTGCTGCCATTATTATTATTATTATTATTATTATTATTATTATTATTATTTCATAATTACCAAGATGCTTCTCTGAAGAGGAATTCTTCACCGTGACAACCTATGTGGGAGAACACTGTTCAGAATCCAGCCAAACCCTAAATCAGTCTGGTATTATTATCATCACGACTAAGTGGGCGGATTCTTCCTGTTGGTAGTCATAGCCCTGGCCGTGGGGGTGGTTATTCTTAAGCGAAAGAACAAAGCTACAATAACCAAGTAAGTCAGTTGGAACACCATTTGACCATTTGACCCGCAGCCAGCAATTGGAAATGGTGGGTCTTTAACCATCAAACCTTCGTGTATCTAGATCACATTTTACTCAGAGAGTATCTTTCCCCAACCCCCCTTCCAAACGGGCCTGTGACATTTTATGCGGATTAGTCCTTAAATATCAACCAACAAGTAAATATGTTTCGTCCCCTGTACTCGAATTCTACTTAAACTGGCTTCACGGTAACAGGTTATTAATGTCTATATAACCAAATGTTTAGTGTAAACCATACCAATAATTCTGTCATAAAGAAAACGTTTGAGTAACACGATTGCTGTTTATACATCTCTCTCACGTAGTGAAATGTGTAGGCAAAAAATAAATCTGATGAATGTGGATGCATTCTGATCATTTAACAAGATGATTTGTCACAATTAACCTATTTCTAAGCTAACATCACTGTAAAATTGCAATGCCATTGTCAAATACAAGTACCTAGAAGGTCAAGACAGAAAAATGGATATTGATGACCGATCATCTGAGGACTCAAGCCAAGAGCCACGTCACATGAAACGCTATGTACACCACCGTAACAACGTGCGTGTGTTTTATTGTTTTATTAAATGATTAAGGTCTGTATTGCAATAGACGAACGTATGTTCACCTTTGTTGCGGGTGTCAGTCCAATTTTATTCAATTGTCAACGATATATAACATCAACTGGTAACAAATGGTACTGTTTATTGTATAACATCAACTTATGTCAACTTACATCAACTTTCATCAACTTTCAACTGGAAACAACTGGTAACAACTTTCATCTGAATCAACGTGAAACTCGTTGCGAGAATCTGACTTGTCTAACAAACACGTGCCGGCAAAAACTAAATACTATCAACACCGATACTACAATTAAGGTCAAGACACTACTATGTCTAAAAATAGCTACTTGTCAGTTACAACCTTATTGTTTAATTTTAATAGATTGAATGGACTGTGCGATAGATTGTCATTGTCTGTATGAATATGTGTTGCTTTTCACACGTTGTAGTCAAAGTATTTCGCTATTTCCTAACATAATCCCAGTGCCACGTTAATTGACATTTGCTTTATGTAAGAACAAAACTGTATCGTTAATACGAATTTCAATATTGCACATTATTTACCCTGGGAAGACTACCTTGTTCAGCTAAGACATGGTGCAAACAACAACCGTGGAAGGATATACACCTTTAATATTAATAACCAAGCATCGAGGCGAATTACTTTAAAAACGAACTGTTTCCAAGTATCTGCCTTATTGTACCTGGGGTTGAGTGGCTCGATCCGACTCGACGTCTTTTTGGACTGTTCACATTTGGGTATTTTATGATCTAACAAAACTAGTATTAATCAGGAGGAACTCGAGTCGTGCTTTAACAACAGTAATACTAATATTTCAGGGCTACGACCCTGATGGTGAGGACTACGTCGGCATCGACCCACATTACACAGGGTTCCAAGTGAGGCTTGATCATATCGACCCTACCATAGATGTAAGTTGATTAATATTTTGTTTTGATCTAATTACAAGCAAAACACTCGTTTGGCGTGATAATGTAGTGTATAAGCTTATTTGTTTATTACCAATACCGTCTGACGTACATTAAATGTCACATAATGTGTCTGGTATTCAAGTCACCTTTCATAATGCTTCACATAGTATCCAATTGTGTTGTTTTTTTTCAGTATTCAATTAGGAGACCGACGGTGTACACCCGTCCTTACGGTCCTCACCACAACAAAAGCAACCCAAGATATATGTGAATATAATGTGCGCTCTGCTGCCACCTATCAAACACTTAACATGATGGTATTGACACTACGGATTACGGTAGTCCCTTCGTGCAATACTTCGTATAGTAACGTTATTTGAATGTGGTAGTACACAAACACAAATCAGCGATCCCTTCATTAATCTATGATATAGATTGTGTTTTATAAAACAGAAACTCGTGAATCCAATATGATAAGAATAGGGTATATATTTGAAACTGAAGAAATCACTATGGATACAAATGTTAAAAAATGTTGAACAAACATTGTGAAAATCTTTTTTATAGCACTAGATTTGTTTTCCCTTTAATATAGCAGTATCTGTATCCGTGTGGTATATTTAAACTTTCTTTGTACCCTCGTTTGTATGTTTTGATTAGCCACCTTTGCAAAAGATTGTATGCACAAGTATTCAAACCTGAAATGATGCATGATTAATCGCATTGTAAATGGTTATAAGAAATAAACCACACGGTGCATGTGGAGGAATTAATCGGCTTTGCTCTTAAGTGGGTCGGCCACATTTGATCAGTGGAAAAAAGGAAAACAATAAAACGTTGCTCAACTTCAACATCATTGTATTTTTTATCTAATATCGTATCTGCTTTCATTGGATACGTGGTTAAATTCCCGTTTTTTTCACATACTATAGATATACTACTACTACTACTGCTACTGCTATTGCTGCTGCTCCTGCTGCTGCTATAGAACGGTTTGAAAACGTAATTCTCGTACCTTGTGTCTTGATCCTTTTTGGCCTGAACATATTTCAATATTTTATACTGCCATGTTTGTGCGCCTATTGATTGAAAGTTTACACATCGTTATTTGCTAGTTTATATCATTTAAGCACTAAGGCGTGTTTGCTTGATAAGGCATCAACGTCACCTTAATCAACGATATAAGAAGAAGTCAGCTTGTAATTGATACCAATAAGTCAAAGTCCACTACACAAAACAGACATTCAAGTCCAGCAAAAAGTAAGTGCTGCTCTTCTTTTTGATCATCTTGATTGTAAACAAATGTGTATTCTTAAATACTGCAAATTGGATGCGATCAATCAGCTGCAAAAATCATTTTACTGTTTTGAAAGAGCACACGGAACACCCGCTCGGCACGTTGTAGCTTTGTTGTATATTTGAGCTTCAGCTTGATACTGTAGTAGTGTAGTATGTGTGTTTTAATGAGTTGGTGTGTTTTTCGTTGTATGTGTATATACTACTTTTTGCAACCCCACAAATTGAACTGTGTGCACTATTTCCTTGGAAATTATATTTTAGATGTAGATATTTCAGGCGCACACATTAATGTTGTCATTTGTCAACACTATTTAGTGTTTATCATTAATCTGCTTCATTTCTTTTATCATCGGCCAAATTTCGAACATCATACTTGAATTTGTTCCATTACTTTATCTAAATGTCATTATTTTCAAATTAGCTTAGATCAAGGATACATAAATATGCATTGTGTTAGGCTGCATTTGAACTTGATGAAGCAGTGTATAAACGCAAGAAAAAATAAAGTGTTCTTTGTTATAAGATTCAAAATATGTACTTAAACATAAATAAAACGATTACATTATTTTATCTTACCTTAATAATTGTAATCCGTGAAATAATCTGCAAACTTAAAAAAAGTATGTTCACAATGTGTACAAAGAAAAAAAATCATATCTTGTTCTGAAAATAGTTTTCATCCAATTTCAATACACCGTTAAATGGTAGTTTATCTCATTTAATCACTAGGGCGGGTTTGCTTGATAAGTCAGCAATGTAACCCCACACAACAATATAAAAAGAAGTCACCATCTGATACCAGTAAGGTAAAGTCCACTTAACAGGCATTACAGCGCAGTAAAACGTAAGTATGGGTATCCACTTTATGATCTCAGATGGGTTAAATAACAATTGTACCCTGTAGCACAAGAAACATATATGGATACCGTTGATGAAAAATCTAACACTGTAGATGGGCTTCTTAATCAACATTACTCCTTGAAACCAAACGCAAAGTATCCATTCTTCGTGTTAACGTGAATGATTCCCAAATACAGATATTTTTACAAATACTATGACGTCTGGAATTTTTGGAGTACACCATCATCATAGTGAAACCAAAGGTTACTTATTCGGAATTACAAATGTGACCCGCCAAATCGAGCTGCCGTCGAACATAAATATTGTTGGACCCGTCCTTTTACTTACCTCTCGATGCTTTATGTCGTTCCCAATGAAGTGACTTACTTCTTAATAAACGACAGTATCTTAGATCGTGCCATGTTCATATGTATTTCAGAAAGAAACATAAACACCAGGTACTTTTATTTTAGCTTTAGCATTTTAAAGATATGAATTTGGAAAGATACGTTTGCAGGATATATAGACACACAAAATGTGTCTTTGGGACATTTTCAAAGGGGGTGGGGGTTACGTATTATTTTCTGCTTTGTAGAATATTGTCCTATTTCAATTAAGAACTTGGGGAAGTTGGCCCAGATTATGATGCAGTTGATCTGCCTTTGCAAATCATCTAACATGTGTTCAGTAAGATTAATATAATTGCTCAAAGGTGTCCGATGACCGTGATATTTCTAACAGCTATTTTACTCCTTTGGCAAGATGTGACTTCAGGGGCAATGAAGTAACATTATAACAGTTGTCGTCTAGTGATTGATAGTCTGAGATGAATTGAATCCTGATACTAACCATACTGAGCACATATGGAATGATTTGCTGTACCTGGTGCAATGGAGAATCAACTGCCGAACAATCTGCAGCACGTGGTCGACACATACACACACACACGCACGCGCACGCCAAAGGACAACGATCTTTAACAAATACATATTGATATCATTTTAACCCTCAAGTGACCGAGTGGGGTCATTTACGACCCCAGCCATATGATTTAATGTGCCATCTCTTTATTTTTTATTCGAATTTTATTTCCTTGCAGGAGTTTGTCAGTCTACTAATCCTACACACTTTCACAGCTTTTTGTAGGGATCAACCAATTAGTGTGGCGTATACATCACAAACTCTTCTGGGGTCATTTATGACCCCAAAGAGAAGCATTGGTTTTTACATATTAGTTTTTAAATTTTATTCAAATGTTTTTCCCACGCAACACTGACACATGCATGTGCTTCATGTAACCAGCCAGTGTGCCCAAAACAAAGGCACAGATAAGTGGTTTGTGAAGATTGTGCTTGAAGTGTTACTAATAGTGCAGCGCTGAATCTTATTTCAGTAGCTTTGTTGGAACTTGTTGTCATAACTAGGTCTCTCATTTTGACGGTTACAGTTTTCGGGTATTTCGGAAATCTAAAGAATTCTGTCGATATCATATTATACATATGTTAACAAATTGTTTGTGTGGATTTTGTTTTATACACAGATGTGGTAGTAACATACATGTAAGTTGATTGAATGTGTTATGAGTAGTATGACTTCCTTTCCAGCATTAGGGTATTCCCTACTCAGCAAGTCAGCTAATTATTCTTATTGAAGTTAGCAGGATGCTATCTTAACATAAGTCAAAATATTTTTACTCAAAGTAATTTTGTAATGTACTTTTTTCATTTAGTGTGGCAAAAAAAGAGAAATATTTTGCAAGTGGAAACTGACAAGGACTGTCTAAATACCGGTGTAATGTTGTTCTTAAACTCTGTGCTTGATTATTTCATGCAATAAAAGTATTATTACCAAATACTTACTACATTAGATCATTATAAAATACTTATCTTAAATCCTGGGAGTAGTATAGGTCTGATAAACCCTCAACAGCCTTTTATAATAAGGATCCCTGTACAGAGCACAGTGGGGTCATAGATGACCCCACTTGGTCATTTCAGTCAGTAAAATAGCTTGGTCTCTTGAGGGTTAATTGGTGTCTTTTTCTGGTATCGTTTTTTATCTTATGGTGACTTTATTTTAAAAGTCACCATAAACTTAAGATTATCTATTGTAATTATTAACCCCAGTCAGAACTTCACCTCGATAGGTTGACATTCTGTAGAGAGAGACAGATGATCGTGTTTTGAAACATTTTATCTGTGACAGGGAATAAAGTCCCACCTTGTGTAATTTTTACTTTTCCATTTTTTATATTGTATGTATATATTTCTTTCTTTCCTCCTTCCTTCCTTCCTTCCTTCCTTCCTTCCTTCCTTCCTTTCTTTCTTTCTCTTGGCGGGCATTGCTTGGATAAGATTTTCACGTGATAAGAGAGAGTTCACGTGATCTGAGTCCCTTGTCGCGCCCTTTTTCACTCTCTCTTTTGTAACTGACCAGAGCGGTCGTGCAAATTCACTATTTTTATTTCTACAGGTGTGCTAATTATTCTTTCAAATTCAATTGTCATGATATATTATTTATTTATATTATTAATCGGTTGTATTTATTGGATTAGTTATTTTTTAAAGTGTTTTATTTATTGTAAAATGTAGATTCACTCTCTCTTTTTTAACTGACAAGAGCGGTCGTGCAAATGCACTGTTTTTTTTTATTTCTATAGGTAAAATAAATACTTTTAAATCTATTACACAGTTGTGTGTTTTTACCAATAAAACAAGCTGTGACATCTATACAGAAAGATAAAGCAATGACGGCTGCGTGCAATACGGTTAAAACGGAAACAGTTGACTGCACAGTGTGATTTTGACCAGTCTTAGAGCTATGTGGAAACATTTTCATTAAGCAAAGCGAATAACCTACCTGATAACAAGAAGCGCAATCGGCTATCAACCAACCTACATGTACATGTATAGTTAGACACTTTGGGAAATGACGTTTATTTTACATTATGTATTTTTCGTGTACGTGACATGAGAGCTTAAGCTTATCAATCCCTCGTGTTTGCAGGGTATTACATCAAGGTACAAGTAAACAGTGAACTTAAAGCTTTATTAGGAATGCTGCGACGTAATGTGGACACAGTGATATGAAATACACGTACTCCCAAAAATAAAGTACGCCCTTTGTTAAACATAAACGCATAGATAGCTTTTTTTGTGGAGGAATATGTTGTGACACCAGGAAACCTGAAGTGTTTTGTGATACACATGACAGTTTTGATTTTACCTTAAGATCGAATGCATAGAAACCAAAGCGACACTTAATACAGTAGCAAAAAATTCCTGTGTACATTTCTAAAAAACTCAATACCATGAATTGTCCAATAGTGTAACCCAAACTTCCACAACATAAAAATAGCACTCCGAGAGCGCAGACCAAGGCAGCAGTATTTGATTATTATTGATTATTGATTGATTATTGATCCGCATCACCAACTAAGCATCTCTTCCTTGACCCACTTCTGACAGTTCCTGAAAATTTCATCAAAATCGGCCCATAACATTTTGAGTTATGTTGATGACAGACAGACAGACAGACAAACAGGGGTGAAAACATAACCTCCTTGGCGGAGGTAAAAAACAATGTGTTTGGTAACATGGCAATCTCAAAGCCCCCGAGTGACCCTGGCCTGGAGATATGAAATGTAAGATATCCTATTAAACTTACCATAAATCCGTTTCGCCTGAATTCTCTACAGCTACTCTTACAACCGGTCGTGCGTGCTTCTACGAGCGGTTTGCGTGCAAAAAATTGACCAAGTAGTAAGATACACGCACGTGGAACGTACTATTTTTAGTGGACGCAAACACGACGCAAAGCACGCAGCCCGAAAACTGGCCGGCCAGTTTTTCGCTACGACCTGTCTGCGACAATTAGAACGCCTGGAGCACGCTCGTAGCACGCAAGACAAAAGTACTGAGTAAGTGCGCTAGGCGTGCGTGTAACGCAGGAAAAGAATGCAGAAATCCCGGGGTATTTTACCACGAAGACGTACTTACCACGCAAGAGACTCGTACGTTCAACTTGCTTTCAATGTACGTGTTAACGAAAAGGGGGGGTGAGCGCACTTCCTCCGTGCGTTTATCTCATTTCCAAAGTGCGTGGCGAGTACTACTACCATACTTGTGAAGTGCGTCACACTAAGACGACGCATGTTAAGCATCTCTTCTGGTCCTCAAATCAAGTGCGGTCCCTTGGTTCTAAACTGTTTACAAGAAGCTCTGTACTGGTCCTACACCTGTAAATGTCCATTATGACGAGTTCAAACGTGTTCCCCAAACGTGTCCTTGGCTGACTCTGTTATGGTCTTAATTTGAGGTTTAAAACTTTGAGAGGCTACCAAAAAACGTACGTAAACTGAATGTTAGAAAGAAATGCATTTCAATTATTTAAAATTGTATTATATTTGCTATAATATATTCTCATATTTTTTAAAGAACACAAAAGTTTTGCTGTGTGACTACCTTTAATACTACTACAATATTTATGGCGTTCTCTGCTTCTTGTTTTCAAGACAGTTACATTCGTGGGTGATTGTGTGCTTGTGGGGGGAGGGGGGGCTACTCACTCATTGTCATGGTCGTGCGTTCTTTATTCCGTTTTAAGTTAGTATATATACTTAGCTTATAAGCTCTTATTTTCATATGGACGCGTTTATTCCCGTGAATTTCCTAAATGTCCACTGGACTGTCAAGAATTATAGTGATTCAGAGCTTATATAGGCACAGTATAATGGATTTTTACTGCATACGTTTTATAAATCTATTAATACTGCAATTTATGTAAAGAGCTCCCTATGAAGGATAGTCTAGCTACTTTATTCTTTTACGCATTTTGTTTTCAGAATTTTTTTTTCAATTTTCAGGATTTAGGGTTTAGGTATGGTCACTATAAAACTGCCAAAATGTAGGCGTTTTGTGCAAGTAGTAAAAATGGATTATATTATTTTCGAATCAGCGGATCTAAAATAAACAAAGTTTATTAATAAACGCGCAATATATTCGT